AGCTTTTGAAGAATAAGATTATCATCAAGGCAAGTCCAGAACTTATTAGGCACTCTGCTTTTTGTGAAGAGAGGAAAAATAAGAGAGGAGAGGAGAGAAAAGAAGAGAGAGGAGAAAGAAAAGAGAATAGAGGGGAAGGGAGGACAAGGGAGGGAAACTTTATCAGTTTTGAGATTCAGAACTCCATTCATTTTCTCCTTCTGACTAGATATTCAGCAGCAACAGAGGTTCTCAAACTTTTTGATCTCATGACCTCTGTACACTCTTAAAAATTATTGAGGACTTCCCCCCCCACAAATACTTTGTTTATGTGTGTTATATCAAGTTTTATCAATTCTTCCTCGGTGTTTTATATCAACCCCTTTTTCCTCCACTCCCATGACCACCCACCTGGTTGAGACCCTGATCATCATACTCTTAAACCTCTAATTACTCTCCTCATGAATTCAGCTTCACATCGCTGCCAAATATCATCCCTAATCCCCAGGTCTGACTCAGGTTTAATTGTCCCACTCAGGTTTAACTTTCAGTGGCTACCCATCCCCTCTAAGATAAAATATAAATTCCTCAGCCTTGCCCTTAGAACTTCTCATAATCTGGTTACAGCCTACTTTTCAAACCGTATTTCATATTATGTTATAAACAAACTGAACTCAACTCCTTGTTGTTTTCTGAATTTAACATACCACCCCCACCCCTTAACTCCTAACATTTGAACAAGCTGGCTTTCCATACCTAGAATACATTCATTTCATTGCAAGCCTTTCAGAATTGTAGGACATCTCAGGTGCTACTTCAGCCTTCCTTGAATCACTCTAGTTGTCATTGCCTCCCCTGCTTCAAATTTTCCAGAAGTACATTTTTTGATCTTTCCGTTTTCCCCTTAACTTCTTGCATTGTATATTATACTTACTGTGCACGTGTTGAACTCCTCTCTATACCTCACCCCTGCCTGTAAAATTGTGTATATTTCTTGAATGTAGGTACTGTTTACTTGTCTGTTTTTTTTTTAATTTTTAGTGCTTAGTAGAGTGCCTTGCACAGGAGCTGGATGGCTCTTTATGAAGGATATTATAGTGAGGATTCAAATTCAGATTAGAATAGATCTTTTCTTAGATCTCTTCCAACTCTGTTCTGTGATTCAGGGATTGTTTATCAGAGGAAAGAGTTCAGTGAACCAGTGATTGAATCTTGTTAGGACTATTTTTCTATACCTTTAAATCACATTGTCTAAGCTTGATAATTTGTGCTGCTTCTGTATCTGGTCTGTATCCTATTAAGGCATAGTTCATTGAAACCTGGACTCTCAAGTCATCAGGCCTAATAATTTTATTTTGTCACCTAGTATTTTCATCACAGTTTTTATGGAAGTATTTGTTCTGGCTGTTCCTCATGACTGAAAGGTGCTCTTTCTTACATTCACCTCTTAGATTCCCTTGTTTCTTGAATCTTTCTTTTTTTTCTTTATTTTTGAAGGCAGTTGGGGTTAAGTAACTTGCCCAGGGTCACACAGCTGGTAAGTGTCTGAGACTGGATTTGAACTCAGATCCTCCTGACTTCAGGACCAATGCTCTATCCACTGTACCTACCACCTAGCTGCCCTGATTCCCTTGTTTCTTTTAATACTCTTTTCAAGTACCATTTTCTACATGAAGCCTTTTCTGATCCTCCAAGCTAATAATATTTACTGTCCCAAAACTATCTTATATATATATATATATCCTTTATAGGCTTAGAGATATATATCTCTACTCCTCCAATGGAATGTGAGTTCCTTGAGGTGCTTCTAAGAAGAAAACCTGGCAAGATATGATCAGCAACTTCTTTGAGTCTTCCAGAGAATCTTTTAATGCCTTTTAGTGGATAATTTGTGACACTAATTTGGGTCTCCATTTGAGGTTGTTAACTTCTAGAGACATTATGTGGCAAGACCTGAGTTTTATTTCCAGGTTTGTCACCAAACTAGCATTGTGACCTTAGGTAAGGCACTTAACTTTCCAATGCCTCTGTTTCCTCATCTGTAAAATGGCAGAGTTGGACCAAATGACTTCTAAAGTCCCTTCCTGATATAACATTTTATAATACTTGGTTCTAACATAATATCCCTTTTCTTACATCTAACATCTTTATTTTTCTTTCCTTGAAACCTGAACAATTGGTTTGATCCCCAAATGTGAGAGGTGGCTCTTGATCCAAAGCAAATTTGTTGAGCCCAGTCTTAAGCAAAGATTCATGGAGGGTAACTAAATGCAAATGTTCATTTAGGCTACTACTGAGTCTAATCATTTAAAATCCGGTAGTGCTCTGATATCCTGTTTCTCCTGCTGGAAATCCCCATGCATTTGTCGTCCATCCTGAAATGCAAAGGCTGGTTACTGGCACTTGGAGCTTCAACTGAACTTTCAGGAAGACAAATGCAGTGTTTTGTTTGTACTCTTAATTTATTTGCAAACCAGTAAATGAGGATAGTGAAGAGGGAAAATCTTCCATTGATCTGTGTGTGATGATCCCTAAACATGTAATTAAAATATCATGGATTTTAACAAGGACCACTATAGACAAAGTGGGGAGAGAATAAAGAGAAGAATGAATAGATTTTCTTTTCGTGGTGGGGAACATGAATATTTCTGCATTTTACATTTCCAATAGTGACTGGTACCGTATGAACACTTTTTCACAATTGTTGACTTGTTGGTTGATTGAACTGGAGCTTTTAAAATTTCCTTGTTTTTGTGATGTTTATTTTAGTTTTCTCTTTTTAAATTAAATTTTAATTTTTTTCACTGAACAAAAATATCTACCTTCTCTCCTTTCCATGTCCTCCAACTCCTACGGGGAGGGCTGAACTCTTGTAATAAATATGGGTCATCAAGCAAAACTAATTCCCACATTGGCCATATCCAAAAAAATATATGCCTCATTCTGTACCCTGAGTCCATCACTTCTTTGTCAGGAAGGAAGCAAATAATATTTTTTATTATGAGTCGTCTAGAATTATGGTTAATTAGTGTTAATCAGAGTTCTTAAGTCTTTCAAAATTGTTTTTCTTTACAATATTGTTATTATATAAATTGTGCTGCAGCTTCTCATTTCACTCTGTGCCATTTGATGCTTATAATTTATGAATGTGGTTATTGATAAGCAAGTTATTATCCAGGTTGTTTTCTTTAAGATTGGTGTTAGATCTTCACTCTAAACACCTTAAAATTATAGAAATTTAAAGATTCTAAAAAGTCTTCTTCAGTCATAGCTTAAATATATCTCTTCCTAAAACTCAGTCCTGGATTAGGACCACCAACTGCTACATTGTTGAATGGAGCTGGATTGAGTCAGCCAATTAATATTTATTAAAGCACTTATAATGTGCCAGGTACTGTGCTAAGCACTGAAGAACTCTACCGACTGGATTACGTTATAGATTCATATTATCTAATTTCATCTGGGTCCTTAATGCCATAAAGTAGTTCTTTTATTTCTCACTTGCCATAGAAATCTTTCAATACCTTCTCTTCTCTCTTGAAGCCTGCTGTATCCCTTTTCTTTCAACTAAGTACCTTACCTCTCTTACTTTCCTAAAGAAATCGAAGCCGTGCTTGTTGAGTTCCCTTTTCTCCCATTCTCTTTATATCAAACCCCTTGACATTATCTTCCACTCTCTCTTCCCCAGTGTCTGTCAAAGTGTTGGCCCTTCTCCTCGTCAAGGTAAACTCTTCTGCATCTGTACTTGATACCATTCCCTCCAGTTTTTGCCAGCAATTTGATTGTATACTCAATCATCATTCCCTCTCAAATATTCCATCTTTCCCTATCTACTGGTTCCTTTTCTGTTGCTTTCAAAGGCATGCTCACCCCTCATCCTTATCCATGAAAAATCTTCACAAGACCTTCCCATTCACTCAAGTTCAATATCTTTCCTCCCTTTCTCAGTCAAATTCTTTGAAAAAGCTATCCATATTTGCTTTCTTTGCTGCTCTTCTCGTTCAGTCTTCTCTTCTTTGCTATCTGCCTTCTGACTTCATCACTTAACTGAAAATGCTCTCTCCAGAGTTATCTGTGATTTCTTGATTGGCAGATCTTATAATCTTTTCTCAGTTCCCAACCTTCTCTACCTATCTACTACATTTAACCTTGGTGACCACTTTCTTCTCCTGGATACTCTATCCTCTCTGTGCATTCATGATGCTACTCTCTTCTAGTTCCCCTCTCACCTGTCTGACCACTCTTCAGTCTTCTTTATCTCTCTGTCACCCACATTCAAATCCATAATTGTAAGTGTTCTTCAAGGTTCTGTCCTAGGCCCTCTGCTTTCCTGCCCCTACATACTATCTCAGTAACCTCTTCAACTCTCGTGAGTTTAATGATCATCTCTATGCAGATGGCTCTCATATATATACACATAAATCTGTATGTACACATGCACATATATGTGTATGATACACATATGCACACACATATGTGCATCTACACACATACATACTGATGCATTCATGCCAAGTCTCTCCCTGACCTTCAATCCTGAATCACTAATTGCTTAATGAATATTTCAAACTGGATATCTAGGAAACATTTCAAACTCAAAATGTCCAAAATCTCCTCCTTACCCCACTCCCAACACTTCCCATTTCCAAACGTCTTCATTTCTGTTGAAGGAATCTTTCCAGTCTTCCGGGTTAATCTAATCTCCATGATTCACTTCTTCACCCAACATATCCAGTTCCTTGCCAAAGCTTGCCATTTTCTACCTCCACAATATCTCTCACATCTGGCCCCTTCTTTTTATTCACACGGTTAACACCTTAGTTCAGGCCTTCATCACCTCTCATCTAGATCATTAAAATAGCCTTCCTCAGGTCTCTCCCTATTCCAAGCCATACGCTTCTAAGCATAGATCTGATCATATGACTGCCATTCTCAGTCAACTCTAGTGGCTTCTCATTGGATCGAGGATAGTGTTTAGCTTTTAAAGCCCTTTATAACCTGATCTCAAACTGTCTTTCCAGATTCATTGGACATTACTCTCCCTCCTGCACTTTGCATTACAAACTGGCCTTCTCTGAGTTCCTCACTTATGACTCTCCCTCCTGGCTTCCCTGTCCCCAGGCCTTCATCTCCATCTTATAGACTCTGTCTCTTCAGGACATCAGGTACAACTTTCTACATAAAATCTTTCCTGATCCCCCCCAACTTCGAGTACCCTCCCTCCTAAGCTTTGGCTATAACTGTTATGTATTTATTGGCTTTATATGGCTTATGTTTCTACTTACATAGATACTTACTATCTTCCTCTTTTACTTACATAGATACTTACTATCTTCCCCGTTAGAATATAAGTTACTTGCAATTAGGAATAGTTTTATTGTTGTGTATCTTTAGTGGCTAGGGCATAGTGGCCACTTATTAAATGTTCTGTCTCTCCTTTGATTTGAATCCTACCATTTTGTTTCACTACACTGCAAAGAATACTTGATTTGCCCTGAGAGAAATGAACATTGTAACAACACTGGTTTCACCTCACATTAAATTGGCAAACATGAAAACAAACGAACAAACAAACCCAGGCAAAACCAGCAATGCTGCATGAGCTATAGAAGACAGAAATTCTTAATATGTACTGGTGGTAGAGCTTTGCACTGGTGCAACCATTCTAACAGTTTGGGACTTTTCAAGAAGAGTCACTAAACTTTTTGAACGATTTGACCCAACTGTCCATCTGCTACAAGGCACATAACAAAATGAGGTCAAAGAGGGATTGAGGTGAGGGAGAGCCCCCTGTTACTGATAGCACTTTTGGTGAAAGAAATAACAAATTTGAGTTATTGGGAGAAACTAAGGAAGATTTGTATGAACTTATGTAGAGTGAAGAAAGCAGAATCAAGAGATGTGTTTCATGGAAAGAAAATACAAAAAAATAAAAATTCAGGTTAAGATAAATAGCTAATATTAATCAGAAGATTGATGAAACATGTTTTTTCTCTCAGCAGGTTGATGGGGTTTTTTTGGGTGTGGAATACTGTATCCAAAGTGTGTCAGTTTCATTTACTTAACTGTTTTTGTTAGGGAGGTGAGGGCAGAGATAAATACAGAAATGCTGTTTTTAAAAAGTAATAAATTAAAAAAAAAAGAATACTTGATTTAGAGTCTTAGGACCTGGATTCAAAACTTATTAGTTTATGACCTTTAGCAAGACATTTCACTTCTCCGGGCCTCAGTTTCTTTTTCTGTAAGACAAGGAAATTGGGCTAGATGCCTTATGATCATTAGAATTGATTAAAAATTAAGTGATGTTTTAGAACATGTTTCATTAAGTTGCTTATAGGATATTATCAACCTGGAAAAGACCTTCAGAGTATTAGGTCGATCATCTAGATTAGAAGATGAACTATTGAAGTAAGTGGAGAAGTATAGTTAGGTGCTCTTAGAACTTGGGCTCCCTTCTTAATGACAGGAAGACTCACAGAATATCAGGCTCCCTGGGCTTTGGAGGAATACGAATTGTACATTTTTGTGTTTGTTTTACAAAGTTTCTATTTTCTGATATTTCTACTTTCTTAGTCACTTTTCATATTTCTTGTCTATGTAGTATATTCTCAGCCTGAATTCTGTTAGATATTTGTATAGTTAACACCTAAATGTTGACCTTTGCCTTTTAAGCAACTTACATTGAGGTCTTTGAAGGTCAAAATTTGAATGAAGGCATTATTATATAGATACTCTTGCCCAGACAGGTATATACTTTTGCAAAAGATGTATTTGTGGCAGTTTCAAGTATTATCCGTTGGTAGAAAACAGAGCTTCACTTTTTTGAATTAGTTTTTCTTTAATACTTGTAGTACCGGTTGCTTATTTTGGAGGTGTTTTGAAGCCTTAACTTAAAGAACTTTATTGTATGCCTGTCCTTTTTGGTGCTCAATCTTTTGTCTTCTTCATTGTGTCTATATCAATGTTAGGTGATGGCCCAACACCGGAAAATTCGAAGAACAAGGAAACTAATTCCAATTTATCTATAAAGGGTAATGATGGGTATCTTTCCAATAAAGATTTGCCAAATTCATTTAATGAGAAAGTTGCCTATAATAACCTTGATTCAGAATAAAGAACGAGAGAACCCTGTCAGATGGTATTGGATAGAAGGGGAACTGACAGAAGAGTGAGGGACAAAGAAAAGAAACACTGATACAAGAAATGATTGGTGGTGGGTAGATAAGGAAAGGACAGTAATTAGAAATGATAACAGGCTTTTACAAGTCACTGTTAAGTATAACAGCAAGGGAGAACCTGGATTAATTTAGCATATCACAGATCCTAGCACCTTCTGGGGAAACATTCTTTGAGAGCAGCATTCTAGGTAAATGGCTTCATTTGTATATTGGTGCCATGGCAGTAGATGACTTTGTATTATTGTTGAAATTCTCACATTGGAAATGAGCAGAGAATAAACTTACTGTTGGGCAGTGGTGTGGGACAATAAATGTTCATTGTACTAAACCAAGAAAAATCATCCAGGGAGTTTTGAGATCTTTCAGAATAGCAAATCCAAAGTTCAAAGGTTTTTCTCAGGCTATTTTCTCAAAATTTCACACTTCCAGTGGACTGTTAGAGAAGAGTACTAGACTGAAAATTAGAGGACCAGAGTTTGAGTCTGTCAAATCTTGTGATTCTGTGAATTGATTAGTCCTCAGCACTTTGTATAGAATTGTCTTAGAAGGCTCTCAATAAACAATGGAAATGATGACTTTACATTCCTTCAAGAAGTATGAATCTTTTCCCATTTGTTTCTCTGTTTAAGATGATTGATTTCCCAATTTTGTTGATTGTGGGCAAGAGACAGTTTCAAATTCACCTTTCTAAATTCTATTAATATTTGTTTTTACACCTTGACCCCCTGCAACAAATCCAGCTCTTCCTTGTAACAAAGCAGAACAGGTAAAATTAAACCATAGAGTGATGGGGCAGACAGTGTATACTGCATTTCACAACCATAGGCACCCCCCCCCATGAAAGGAGAAGTGTTTTCTTATGTATTCTCCTGGATTAAGATTGGTCATCACAATTAATTGGAGTCCATACTTTTTAGTATTGTTTTAGACATTGTATATGTTCTCATTTGGCTTAATTCATGATACATCATTTCATTTTATATTGACCAGTAACGTTCCATTTTATTCATATGCCGCAATTTATTCAGTCATTTCCCAATTAGTAGGCATCCACTTATTTAATTATTTTTGTCAGTGATACTGTAACAGTGCCATGGATATATTGGTGAATATGAGGCCTTTATTTCTGTCTTTGTCCTCCTTGGGAATATATGCCCAGTGGAGGGGGGGGTGTGATGATTACCCTGGGTGAAAAGGTATGAATTATTTAGCGATTTTTCCTTCCATAATTACAAATTGCTTTTCCAGAACAGACCCCCAGAAGTGCTAGTATCATTCACTGTTTGTTTTTCTTCATCTTTATCAGTTTAATGGTTGTCAGGTGAAGCTTCAGAGTTGTTTTAATGTTCATTTCTCTTATTAGCGATTTGGAGAAATAATTTAAATGGTAGTTGATAATTTGCAATTCATCTTTTGAAAAATTTTTGTTCATATCCTTTTACTACTTGTCTATTAAAGAATGACTTTAGATAGGACTGTCTTTATTAATTATTGTCGAAGCTATACAAATAATTCAGATGTTTGGTTCCTGACTCATTTGAAAAAGAAAAAATACTTAATATAATGGAACAGATTGCATGAATTATTGTAGGGACATAGACTTTGGTTCCCTTTCACCAGCCCTCAGGAGGTTTTCTGTTTGTTCTTTTCAGAGAAAGTAAAATTGAAATGAAATTGCTTACCTAGCACTTACTAAGGAGTTAATTTTAATTCTGTATTAAAATTACACTGGATTATTTTTCAGGTGATATAGCTCTAAATATTGTAATTATTACTGCTTTAAGGAATGTGATACATACATTAGGCATTAAATCCTATTTTGTGGTTGCTGTGTTAAATGTGTATAGTATACACTGGCTGGTAATGAAGAATACCAGTTGAGAAGACAGCTTTTGCTAAGGCAGTGCTTTTGAAGTCAAGTCTACTAGCATTTATTAAGTGTTTATTATATGCCAGGCAATGAGCTAAGCACTGGGGAAACAAAGAAAAGCTAAAACAGTTCCTTCTTTTAAGTGGCTCACAATCTAACGGAGAAGACAGCACGTAGTCATCTGCGTGCAAGTAAGATATATATAAGATAAATGGGAGGTAATTCTCAGAGAGAAGTCACTAATACCAAAGAAGACCAGGAAATGTTTCTTATAGTCCTTAATTGTCTATGTAGATTTCTCTGAGTCACTCAAGAACTGTTGTTGACCTGTTTCCTTCTGATATTAGTAAAGTTCAACCTAACAAGCAGTTTCTCTTAATATTAACCATGTCAAATTTAGTGCAGTGTTATGATGCCAGATATCTCACTTTAAACTTAAAACATAGCACTCTGTTTTCATCTGTGCCTTTGCTTCTCCTAGGCTAATGCTGCTGTCGAACATGCTAAGGGTGAGCCATCCAGCCATTTGCCTTATATGTGTTTGTTTTAAACCTTGACGACAAAAACAAATTGGGATTGAATATTTTGAAGGCACAGGCCTTTAAAAAAATCTTTAGAATTGTCATGCTTTACTTCTCAAGACCTTTTACAGTTAACTGAGATATTCATTTAACTCTGCTGCTGAGAATATTTTAATAAAAAGAGAGCCATGCATAGATGGTTTTTCAGTCCATTTCAACTGCCCTGGAGATAACTTGGATAAATATTGGCTCCTCCATGTCCCTCCTAATCCCTGCTGGGTCTTTCACTGTGAGGAGGTTCAGAATACTTGTTTTCTTTTCCTTTTCAGCCCTTCTCCCTGCACCCCATTCCCCTCCTCCAGTGTAATGTGATCTCTCAGGCCTGGTCTTCTGCTTTGGCAGATTCCTTTAGTCTTGAATGGAAAAAAAATTAACCATTTTCTTACCAGTTCTAAGTCTACAGTTCTAAAAGTCAGATACCAAAAATTTATATGGTAGGGTTTTTTTTTTTGGGGGGGGAGTGATTTCTAGTGAGGTATTTGTTTGAAAAATACCTTTTCATTATTTTTCATTTTGAAGCCCTTTACAACTTGACC